TTTTGAGTTCATGGTTTATATTACCATGATTTACATTACATTATAATTATATATTTGGCCATGATCAACACCCGTATTGCATTAGTTTTTGTGTCTGCTGCTATGCAGTAATTTCATAAGGAATAACACTTAATGTCAAAAAGGACTTTTTCCTATTTATAAAGGTTATTAAAATATTTCAAGTTTTAAGTTTGTCTAAATAGACCATTAGAAATTTAGCTTGTAGATATTGTAAGCTTGAAAAAAATATATTCAATATTCAATATTCAATATTCAATATTCAATATTCAATATTATCAAACTAGTGTTTACCTAATAAAAGTGGAATGTTTAAAAAAACAAATCACAATCAAATTAAGTTTTTTTATAAAAAGTACTTTTGAATTAATGGTTCATATTTCCAAGGAATGACTAAACTTACTTTAGAAACATCTGTTTGCCTTTCTAGAACCATAATAGTATTTGTATCTGCTAAATACCGTAATTTCAAAAGAAATTATACAAAACGTGAAAACGGCTAAACCGTTCCAGACCCAAGGGAAGGTTAATGGTTTTTTGTTGTTTGTTTATATTGTACAAAGACAGGGGCGTACTAGGGGAGGGGACGAGCTCGCCCCCCCCCCTTATGCGTGCCCCCTCTGAGGGGGGGACTCATGGGGGGGGGGAACTTTTAATATTACATCTTCCTCAGACAATCTACATTCTACATTGTATTGCATTGCACTCACCCAAACTAACAGATTAAAAAAAGAATTAAAATATATTCTGATTTACAACAATGCCCTTTAAAGCTTTGTCTGATCAAGTATTTCATTAAAAATCCATGTTTCCTATTTTGAAAACTGAATATTTTAATTTGTGATTTCTCTACAAAAATGACTCGCGCATTTCTTGCTTCAGAAACGATGGAGAAATGAAGGTTTCAAAGGTACATCGGACATGCCACTCTATAAATGGAGGGTCACTTGAAATTGTGCATGTACTCCATTTAAGTATAATTACATCGTATAGAAAAAAATGCTTTAAAATCTCACTTTTTGCCCTTAACTAAAAAAGTTTCATTAAAAAAAGCTTTAATCAATACTGCCTTCAGTGTATAAATATATGTTTGATATCATATTTTATTATACAATATATCAATCCTATGAAAATGTAGTCATTTTTCTAAAAACGTTTCCATCTATTGTTTTCATCCCTTGAAGCTTACACCACAGTATTTAGAGGGATTGCCTGATTTTGTGCCCCCCCCCCCCCGGCAACATTGTGCGGACCCTTAAGAAAATTACATAAATTTAAGTTTACATAATTAAAAAAAAAGGTATCAATATTTTTTTCCAAAAAGGGGTTTTTAATGAGGAGGGCACAATGTTGCTAAGGGGGGAGGGAATTTTTTTGGCGAGCTGACGCACGTTAAATGTGCCCCCCCTACACAAATGCCCTTGCACGCCCCTGTACAAAGAGAAGATGCTCGGAGATTGAGTCACAATTAAAAAAAAATGAAATAGAGGATGGGTGTGAAGCCACTAAAAGCCTAGTAGTAGTAAAAGTTATATTTTATATTTTCATATTTAACAAGTCAAAATACTAATAGTTGCAAAGATATAGTGATTGAAAACCTTAGGTTTTAAAGATATTGGGTTTAGAAAACCCAATATTTGTGCTAATTACTCAATTTGATCGACTTAAGATCTCAAAAATTTGTTATTTCCAATTTTGCTTTTTCTTACAAGTGTTTCTGGTTCAAAAACAATGAATGAAACTCTTAAAATTTAACTTAGAGAAACGACGATACCTCCACAATATTGATCAAGCAAGAGTTTAAATGGTACCTCCACAATATTGATGAAGCAAGAGTTTAAATGGTACTGTTGTTCAAGGTTACAATTGATATGACAGTCCACTGAAAAGATTTAAGATTCTAATATTATCAAATTAATTTGATGTATATATTATCTAATGAATTATAAATATAATACTAGGCTTTTAGGGCACATTTTAAAACAAAACAAATAAAAAAAGTTCGCGGATTTTATAAAAATAATACGCAGATTTTATAAAATAATTCGTGGATTTTTAAATTTAATGAAAATCGAATTTTGCAGTTGCAGGAGGCAAATTTTTGAAAGGGGAATGTCCACATATCCATTCAAAGGGTGGCGGGGTTTTCTAACTTCGTCTTAGAGATTTCTCTCTGATTTTTTGCATGTAGGCCTAAAATTTGGTCTAGTTTTTAATCAAAAACCAACGTGGGGGAAAAATAATTTTTCCTCTGATTTTTCCCGCATTTTTCAGACATTTTTCAAAAACTTTGAGATATGTACATGTACCGTCTAAAGTCATCATTATTGGGTCGGGGAACTCAATTCAGGACTCTAAATTGCATTTCCCCCTCTCCTTATACCATTTCCCCCAATTTCCGGCATTTTCCCCCTCCTAAAGGCCAAATAAGCTAAATGTTATACATAATTAAATATTGACGTTTTAAATGTATTTTATATAATGTGTGTATGATTTACATAGTTCATTAATCTATTTTGTTAAAGTTTACAAATGTTTATATAATAATCCTCATCATCGAACTTAAATATAAGTTAATATTATCATGTTTATTAAGAATGGTTTTCTTAGTTATATATATATATATATGCTTAATCTTTTGAATAGTATAATAATATACCTAATATATAGATATATATCACGATTTTTTTCAAATGGAAATAAATCCAATATTTATTTGTAAAATTGAAAATCCGCAAAACCTATTTGTGAAAATCTACAAAACATCTACTGAATAAGGAGTACGAGAAAGGGCGAAATTGCAACTGGTGAGTATTAATAAAGGGTAATACAGAACATATTATATTAAAATCAAAGGATATATATAAGTTTTCTATTGTTGTTGTATCTTAAAATGAAAGCTTTTCTTAAGACGGATTAAGTCGGATCAAGGAATTTCGGTACTGTTTGCTCCAGGCAAGGTCGAAGCAACAAGAACAGGGATTCAACCCATTCTACCAGGAGATTCAGGATTGTTTTACTCCAGGCAAGGTCGGAGCAACAAGAGAAGAGATCCAACCCATTGTACCAGGAGTTTCAGGACTGTTTTGCCCCAGGTAAAATGGGACCAAGGAGAGAAGAGATCTAACCCGTTCTACCAGGAGTTTCAGGACTGTTTTGCTCCAGGCAAGGTCGGAGCAATGAGAAAAGAGATTCAACCTGTTCTACAGGATTTTCGGGAGTTTTTCCTCCAGGCAATTTCGGAGTAACAAGAAAAGAGATTCAACCCATTGTACCAGGAGTTTTAGGACTGTTTTGCTCCAGGCAAGGTCGAAGCAACGAGAGAAGAGATCCAACTCACCTACCAGGAGTTTTAGGACTGTTTTGCTCCAGGCAAGGTCGAAGAAACGAGAAAAGAGATCCAACTCACCTACCGGGAGTTTTAGGATTTTTAACTCCAGGCAAGGTCGAAGCAACGAGAGAAGAGATCCAACTCACCTACTAGGAGTTTTAGGATTGTTAACTCCAGGCACAAGAGTGGGAGTTTCAGGATACAGGATACAGGATACAGGATACAGTATACAGGATACAGGATACAGGATACAGGATACAGGATACGAGAGGAGAGTTCCGACCCATTGTCCAGGTATTTTAGGACTGTTTTGCAAATTGGATCAAGGAGAGAAGAGATCTAACCTGGAGTTAAAATCATAATTTAAAGGTCAAACATGTACCCAAAGTTAAAGTTATGTTTTCAAAATGGTTATTTAAAGAAAAATAATGATATCTATATCTTCCACATTTATGTTAAAAAATTGTGGAGATCTTTATCTATACTGAACAGTTGACGGTTTATGCAGCAAAAGAAAAGCAAGAATATTGATAAAATTGAACAAAGGAGTTGGTCACTCAGCATCAAAATATAAAATCCTTTAATCCTTAAATCCTTCAATCCTTCAACTTTTCAATCCTTCAATCCTTCAATCCTTTAATCCTTCAATCCTTAAATCCTTCAATTCTTCAATCCTTCAATCCTTCAATCCTTCAATCCTTCAATCCTTCAATCCTTCAACTTTTCAATCCGTCAATCCTTCAATCCTTTAATCCTTCAATCCTTTAATCCTTTAATCCTTCAATCCTTCAATCCTTCAATCCTTCAACTTTTCAATCCTTCAATCCTTCAATCCTTTACTCCTGCAATCCTTCAATCCTTCAATCCTTCAATCCTTCAATCCTTTAATCCTTCAATCCTTCAATCCTTCAATCCTTCAATCCTTCAATCCTTCAATCCTTCAATCCTTTAATCCTTCAATCCTTCAATCCTTCAATTTATGAATTCTTGAATCCTTAAATCCTTCAATCCTTCAATCCTTAAATCCTTCAAACCTTTCATTTTTCAATCCTTCAATCCTTCAATCCTTCAATCCTTCAATTCTTCAATCATTCAATCCGTAAATCTCTCAAACCTTCAATCCTTCAATCCTTCAATCCTTCAATCCTTCAATCCTTTAATCCTTCAATTCTTCAATCCTTCAATCTTTCAATCCTTCAATCCTTCAATCCTTCAATTCTACAATCCTTCAATCCTTCAATCCTTCAATCCTTCAATCCCTCAATCCTTCAATCCTTCAATCCTTCAATTCTTTAATCCTTCAACTCTTCAATCCATCACTCCTTCAATCCTTCAATCTAATTCAATCCTTGAATCCTTGAATCCTTGAATCCTTGAATCTTTGAATACTGGAATACTGGATTTCTTACCTTTTTCTTGATACTTTTGCCAGTTTTGTTGGTTTAATACTGATTTAGTATTTTTCCTGTCCGTTCCTAAACTTTAAATGTCCGTCGTATTTTAGTCGAGTTTAAATGTCGTCTTTTCTATCATACTCTCTGAGTCTACTCGAGAACCCGACAACGCAACCTGAATCACTCAGCAGCGTTGAGTGTACACGGGGGTTGTCCACAGTAACCCCGTCGTGAATGTAAAGGCAGGTATAAATGTATATACACACAGTGTCTACTAGTGTCTACTATATCTAGCGAATAGCACAGATTAAAAAATCACACATGAAACTGGCAACGTGTAGAAATGTGAAGTGTGAATTGTTAACAAAACAGAATTTAGTGAATTCAAATTACAAATAAATTTGTAAACTCAATGGAAGAAGAATAAAAAATGATGGAAATATTTAAAAGTAAAAAATAAATGTTTAAGGTAATATTTTCTTTTTTCTTTTTCTTTTTATTATTTTCTTTACTTGGTTTGCAGTATAGACTTGGTGGGGCCAGGACTTTTTTTATAAGTTGATATTTACAGGTTGACATTCACATGGGTTGATATCAGGGGCAGCTCTTTGAAAAGGGGGGTCAAACTTGCTTGGCTCCTATAATTCACAAATAACACTGATCCACATTATTTCTAAATCGTGAAGGAACAGGGTGTCCCACAAAACATGACAGTTGGTGAATAGTTTTGAAGAGATAATAATGATAAATATTTCATGGCATCCATAATATATTAAAATTGATTTCTAGGTAAAATATATTTGAGTAATTTTTTTAAAATAGTATAGTAGTATACATTCATGTAAAAATCTTTGAAGATAAGAAAGGAATTGAGTATTTGCCACAAACTTTAACTTTCTAATCTCAATATATTTGCAACCTGTTGAGGTAAACATTTGATATTTTAAATTTAGATTTAAAGATCAAACATAATTCAAAGTCTAGTGATATTGGGTTGCAAAGATAAAGAGCTTAGAAAATTATAGTTTGTGTCAAAGGCTCAATTTCTTTATAAAATACAAGCTTGTTAACCCAGTGTTGCCCAGGTTACTCTTAGTTACTCTAGCCGTTTACCCGCACATGGTCGTAAATTACGATGTTAGTTACTGTTTGTTTCTCATTTTGAAAGTCGACCCACTGAACTTTGAATCTCAAAACCAAGCTGAGAAGATTTTTGTGTCTCTCCCGAGTTCCCCAAACAAGATTTGAGGCAATTTGGTCCAGACTTGCCTAAGTTATGATCGGACAAACAAACAAACAAACAAACAGAGCATACAACTTTATATATAGAGTACTTTAAAACAGGGGACACCAGGGGAATGGGTAGAAATATATAACTAATAAAATATATTATATTTCTATGTTTATTGTCATAATATATTAGTTGCTCAATGAACTGCATAAGTACAATATTTTATAAAGATATTCATTTGTTAATGTTTGTACATCACATAGAACAGATTATATATTTCATTTTTCTGTCCTTCTCTCAACCCTATCAAGGTTAGGGGGGTCTAAATCTATGTGTAACCTCTGACCTCACATTTGACCTTTCTGTTATTGAAGTTGAAAGAGTCAAGCTCTAAAATATAAAGAAAGGTAAACCACAGATCAAAAATTTTTTGGTGTTTTAATAGATTTCATTTAAAGGGTCCTTGTTTAAAATGCATGTTCTATTACATCGTCAGACTTTGACCTCCAAATATTAATGATCTCCGGAGGTCAAAATTTAGAATCAGTGAAAATGGGTCATGTTATGTATAAAATTATATGTTTTTGGTCATGGTAACATGGCCCATTCTCAGACATTTTCAAGTTTAATTCGTTTAAATAAACTATCATTTCATTTGTTTTCACAATGGGGTGTCTTCACAGTTTACGGTATAAAAGATCAAAAGTAAAACCATCCAAAAAGTAAACAACTTTTACAGGTTGATATTTACAGGTTGATATTTACAGGTTGATATTTACAGGTTGATAATTACAGGTTGATATTTACAGATTGACTTCTACAGATTGATATTTACAGAATAATATTTACAGGTTGATATTTACAGGTTGATATTTACAGGTTGATATTTACAGGTTGATTTCTACAAATTGATTTTTACAGGTTGATATTTACAGGTTGATATTTACAGGTCGATATTTACAGGTCGATATTTACAGGTTGATAATTACAGGTTGATATTTATAGGTTGATATTTAAAGGTTGATATTTACAGGTTGATATTTACAGGTTGATATTTACAGATTGATTTCTTCAGATTGATAGTTACAGAATAATATTTACAGGTTGATTTTTACAGGTTTAGATATTTACAGGTTGATATTTACAGGTTTATATTTATATGTTGATATTTACAGTTTGATATTTATAGGTTGATATTTACAGGTTGATATTTACAGGTTGATATTTACAGGTTGTTATAGACGAGTTTCACATCTAAGGTTTACATTTGAATTTGAAAGTTGATGAAATACTTTTTATGCAAAAATACGTGGAGAGGTGAAGTGGATATTTCTTTTACAGTAACTCGAGTTTTAAGTCTTCTTTAAAATTCTAAATTGACAAAATGTGTTTTTTAAAAATTTACAAAAAGTTACGAAGTGTATTGTAAATAAAACACTATGTTACTTTATTATATTATATTAGGTAATAAAAGGTAGTAAATTTTTAATCTGGGTCAAACAGTTAAAAATTCAAAAAGATAGGTTAGTAAAAGTATTCAAAACTTAAGTGTTTGTAAATGGTCTGTTTTTCATATCAATATTTTTAGTTACTATTATTGATCACTGGAATTAGTCTTATTTATAAAGACAACTTTTCATATTTTATTATATATGACACATGATGTCATTGAAACATGATAATTTCATCAGCCCGTTGTTACTGAAAAAAACGTTTGAATAGTGTCTATATGCAAAGGTATCCTACCTTTCCGCTGAAGTTATAAAGCGATAAATCGGCTATAACTAACTACTAGGCTGTCAAGTTTACCCTGAAATTATCCAAATAAGTGAACTCCTACTTTGGGGGTGGATACGTTTTCAGAATTTAAAGTAAAAATTATACAGTAATGTCGTCTTTTCAATAATAATTCTAGAAAATCTGCGAAAATCTTTGTGAATTATGAGAAACCAGAATAATGAGATAATAGAAACTAATAATTGAACAAGATTACTTATTTTCGATGATAAGATTAGTTTTTATTTTCTCAACATGTTCCTGTACNAACAGTTGGTGTCTAGTGTACGGTGTACAGTGTACAGTACAACAGTTGGTGTCTAGTGTACGGTGTACCATGTACAGTACACAGTTGGTGTCTAGTGTACGGTGTACAGTGTACAGTACAGCAGTTGGTGTCTAGTGTACGGTGTACAGTGTACAGTACAGCAGTTGGTGTCTAGTGTACGGTGTACAATGTACAGTATAACAGTTGGTGTCTAGTGTACGGTGTACCATGTACAGTACAACAGTTGGTGTCTAGTGTACGGTGTACCATATACAGTACACAGTTGGTGTCTAGTGTACGGTGTACAGTGTACAGTACAACAGTTGGTGTCTAGTGTACGGTGTACAATGTACAGTATAACAGTTGGTGTCTAGTGTACTGTGTACAGTGTACAGTATAACAGTTGGTGTCTAGTGTACGGTGTACAGTGTACAGTACAACAGTTGGTGTCTAGTGTACGGTGTACCATGTACAGTACAACAGTTGGTGTCTAGTGTACGGTGTACAGTGAACAGTTGGTGTCTAGTGTACGGTGTACAGTGTAAGTATTCACTGTAATTCCGCCGAATGTTCACGATGTACTGTCAAATGCCTTTGAACTGAACTTTCGTACATAAGAATGTTAACCAACGTACTTCATGCAGTACTAGTTAGGGAACCCAGCGCTGCCCAGATTACTAAAAATTGTTTAACCGCACTTGATCGATTTTACCGGGAAACTAAATTTTCGCTATTAAAGTCAACCCACTCAGAGTCTTAAAACCAAGCTAAGAACATTCCCCGTCCCGTGGATCTTCCGAGTTCCCCAATCAAAATCGGTCCAGGGGTTCCAGAGTTATGGTCGGACAAACAAACAGACAAACAGAGATTACACAACTTTTTATTTATAGATATTGTGTACTGCATGCAGTTTTCAATGTAGAGAAATAAATCATTTCACAAGAAACTGGCTTTTTGAATAAGAAATACAAGGAAGCAAGGATGTAATGCAAGGAAAGTTATTTCAGAAGTGTTCGCATCTTTTGTACTGCAGTGTACTGTTTCTGGGCGGTAATGTAAACACAAGACAGATATTACAGCCTGACAAGGGATCCATCTTTCACATAAAAAATCAATGACATATTCTGGTCATTGGAAACTATTATGTGAATTAACAAAATTATCAAATTTAATGCTTTTAACCTCCTCGGATACTAAACGAACACTAATATATCTATTCTTGTTTACAAATTCCGCCCAAAGAGAACTGGTTTCAATATGTACGCAGAGTATACACGACCGCAATTAACTTTCTTTGCATTATAACCTTGCAGGGAAGGATGCCTTTGGACAGTGGAAATACAGTGTACGTACGTTAGTAAATAACAGAAGATCTGCAGTACATTAAGAAAGCAATACATTTAGAAAATCTGCAGTACATTTAGAAGATTTACAGTACATTTAGAAGATTTGCAGTACATTTAGAAGATTTTTAGTACAGTTAGAAGATTTTTATTACATTTAGAAGATATGCAGTACATTTAGAAGATATGCAGTACATTTAGAAGATCTGCAGTACATTTAGAAGTTTTTTGTAGATACTAATTGTTTTGATCCACTTCTATATTTATTTAAATAATAAGAAAAGAAAATAAGTATTCAAAACTGTTCTAACATCTAAGTGGAAAAATGTGTTTGACTGTTCTAACTTCTATGTGGAAAAACGTGTTTGACTGTCCTAACATCTAAGTGGAAAAACATTTTTGACTGTTCTAACTTCTAAGTTGAAAAACGTTTTTGACTGTTCTAACTTCTAGGCGGAAAAACGTTTATGACTGTCCTAACTTATAAGTGGAAAAATGTGTTTGACTGTTCTAACTTCTAAGTGGAAAAACGTGTTTGACTGTCCTAACTTCTAAGTGGTAAAACGTGTTTGACTGTCCTAACATCTAAGTGGAAAAACGTTTTTGACTGTTCTAACTTCTAAGTTGAAAAACGTTTTTGATTGTTCTAACTTCTAAGCGGAAAAATGTGTTTGACTGTCCTAGCATCTAAGTTGAAAAACGTTTTTGACTGTTCTAACTTCTAAGTTGAAAAACGTTTTTGACTGTCCTAACTTATGAGTGGAAAAATGTGTTTGACTGTTCTAACTTCTAAGTGGAAAAACGTGTTTGATTGTCCTAACTTATAAGTGGAAAAACGTGTTTGACTGTCCTAACATCTAAGTGGAAAAACGTTTTTGACTGTCCTAACTTATAAGTGGTAAAACGTTTTTGACTGTTCTAACTTCTAAGCGGAAAAACGTTTTTGACTGTCCTAACTTATAAGTGGAAAAATGTGTTTGACTGTTCTAACTTATAAGTGGAAAAACGTGTTTGACTGTCCTAACTTATAAGTGGAAAAACGTGTTTGACTGTCCTAACATAAAAGTGGAAAAACGTGTTTGACTGTTCTAACTTATAAGTGGAAAAATGTGTTTGACTGTTCTAACTTCTAAGTGGAAAAACGTGTTTGAATGTCCTAACTTATAAGTGAAAACGTGTTTGACTGTCCTAACTTCTAAGTGGAAAAATGTGTTTGACTGTCCTAACTTATAAGTGGAAAAACGTGTTTGACTGTTCTAACTTCTAAGTGGAAAAACGTGTTTGACTGTCCTAACATCTAAGTGGAAAAACGTTTTTGACTGTTCTAACTTCTAAGTTGAAAAACGTTCTTGATTGTTATAACTTCTAAGTGGAAAAACGTTTTTGACTGTCCTAACTTATAAGTGGAAAAATGTGTTTGACTGGCCTAACTTATATGTGGAAAAACGTGTTTGACTGTCCTAACTTATAAGTGGAAAAACGTGTTTGACTGTCCTAACTTATAAGTGGAAAAACGTGTTTGATTGTTCTAACTTCTAAGTGGAAAAACGTGTTTGACTGTTCTAACATCTAAGTGGAAAAACGTGTTTGACTGTCCTAACTTATAAGTGGAAAAACGTGTTTGACTGTTCTAACTTGTAAGTGGAAAAATGTGTTTGACTGTTCTAACTTCTAAGTGGAAAAACGTGTTTGACTGTCCTAACATCTAAGTGGGAAAACGTGTTTTACTGTCCTAACATCTAAGTGGAAAAACGTTTTTGATTGTTCTAACTTCTAAGTTGAAAAACGTTTTTGACTGTTCTAACTTCTAAGCGGAAAAACGTTTTTGACTGTCCTAACTTATAAGTGGAAAAATGTGTTTGACTGTTCTAACTTTTAAGTGGAAAAACGTGTTTGACTGTCCTAACTTACAAGTGGAAAAACATGTTTGACTGTCCTAACTAATAAGTGGAAAAACGTGTTTGACTGTCCTAACTTATAAGTGGAAAAACGTGTTTGACTGTCCTAACTTATAAGTGGAAAACCGTTGTTCGGAAAAAATCTCGATGTTTCTTATTTTTAATCAGAAAAAATGGTGTCCTGAATAATAACAGCTAAAGGTTAAAATCCTAAGAGGCTAGTTTTAAATATATTAAAATTTCTGTTAAATCTATATGTTTTACGATCGTTGACATTTTTCATATTTTATCTATACAACGAATTATTTAAATGTTAAAGGGTTTAACTTTTTATAATAATAATTGTCTCTAGTCTTTTGTAGCTTCTGAAACCCAAGTTGTGAAAATTAAGGTTTTAGTAGATGTTGAGTTTTTGCCAAAAACTCAAATGTTTTAATTCCCTTATCTTAGCAACCTGACGTTGTAAACCTTTGATATTTCAAACTTAGCCTATTTGATATAATGATGTAGAGTTTATGGCAAAAATTCATTTTCTTTGGAGAAATATTTGTTAATATTTTCAATTGAAATCGATTGATTTATTTAGCAAGTACAAAACTGATCAATTTATCAATTTGTTTATAAATTTTTCAATTTGTTGAGAAATTGATTAATGATTGATAAATTGAATAATGTTTGATAAATTGATTAATGATTCATAAATTGATTAATATTTGATAAAATGGTGAATGGTTGATATGATTAATGATTTATTAATTTGATAAATGGTTGATAAATTGATTAATAATTTGTTTATGAATTGATTAATGGTTGAGAACCATTACGTTGATGAATTATTTAATTTTGTAAACAATTCATTCATTAAATTGTAATTAGTTAGGTTCTTTAAAAATTTGATTTATTGATTGATAAATTTGTTATTTAGATGGAGATTGATGAGATTTATCATGAGATTGGGGAATCTGGAAAACAGCAAATAAAATATGGTGCTGTGCTGTTTCTCCTCAAGGTTAGTAAAACAGATAATGAAATATGGTGCTATGCTGTTTCTCCTAAAGGTTAGTAAAACTGTAAATGAAACATGGTGCAGTACTGTTTCTACTCAAGAATAATAAAACAGTAAATTAATTAGGGAGCTGTGCTGTTTCTACTCAAGAATTATAAAACAGTAACTCAAATATGGTGCTGTGCTGTTTCTTCTTAAGGTTAGTATACCATTAAATCAAATATGGTGCATTGCTGTTTCTCCATAAGGTTAGTAAAACAGATAAACGAAATATGGTGGTAATTTCCTAGAAAGCGATTTTTGGAACCCCCCCCCGGGCCCCTCCCCCTCCTTTCAATTTTGTACATGGATCTGAAATGTAAGACATTTGGCCGCAGCGCTCCGCCCAGAAAGTGTCTTAACCCAACCTAACCCTAAATAAATAATATTTAATTGAAAATTGTTGAAAAAGTGGTCATGTACAAAATTGATAGGAGGGGGGGGGGGGGGCGGGGGTCCATAATCGTTCTCTAGGACAGACCCAATATGGTGAGGTGCTGTTTCTTCTCAAGAATAATAAATCAGCAAATCACATATGGTGCTGTGCTGTTTCTCCTCAAGGTTAGTAAAACAGATAATAAAGTATGGTGCAGTGCTGTTTCTTCTCAAGGTTAGTAATACAGATAATGAAATATGGTGCAGTGCTGTTTCTCCTCAAGGTTAGTAAAACAGATAATAAAATATGGTGCTGTGCTGTTTCTTCTCAAGGTTAGTAAAACAGATAATGAAATATGGTGCTGTGCTGTTTCTTCTCAAGGTTAGTAAAGCAGATAATGAAATATGGTGCAGTGCTGTTTCTCCTCAAGGTTAGTAAAAAATTAAATCAAATATGGTGCTGTGCTGTTTCTCCTCAAGGTTAGTAAAACAGATAATCAAACATGGTGCTGTGCTGTTTCTTCTCAAGGTTAGTAAAACATTAAATCAAATATGGTGCTGTGCTGTTTCTTCTCAAGGTTAGTAAAACTGTAAATCAAATATTGTGCTGTGCTGTTTCTTCTCAAGGTTAGTAAAACTGTAAATCAAATATGGTGCTGTGCTGTTTCTTCACAAGGTTAGTAAAACAGATAATCAAATATCAAAAATTGGAAAAACAATCTAAAAACGATTGTTACAACACGTTCTGTTTGCATCTTTGTTGGATCGTTCTTGCAGTTTGTTTTGGACTAGTCAAAATTTGACACACTTTAACATAGGCAAATGGTTAGAAGAAGAAAGTTAGAAATTATTTGCTGCTCTTGCACCGTGCCAAATTTCGACCATGAAAGAAAAGGGAAAATCGAACCAACTGAAAGCAAATCACTATTGATGTTCTTCGAAGACATTGGAACAATAAATTTTTCTTTATATTTTAGGTATACACTCCTTTTATCATCCTGCAGTACACATTTGTAGCCAGGCCTACACAATTTCAGTGCTACAGGTAGGTTTTCTGGAACTAACACGAACAATATTTCATTATTTGTCCAGAAATAATAATAAATAAATGAGTTATTTTAGAAAAAGACTTATGAATAAGCTTTAAGTGTTTCTTGCGTTACCAGGCATAAGACTGGGGACCTGAAGGTTCAAGAAATTTACGCTAGGTGTCTCGGATCGTTCAACTAAACAAGCCAAATTTCCTCCAATGAATTTTTAAAAAGATTTGTTCTTATTTTGTTGTAAAACAGTTATTTTCTGGTTTCAAAACTATTTTGGGAATAAATAATCTTCCATGAAAATACTAGAAATTTAAAGACTAAATAATTAATTATGGTAACCTATAGTTTACAGTTATATAGGTATAATAGGACCCTCATTATTTCAGTTTTAATTGTATTTTAAATACATTTTGTTTTAAAAATTTAAATATATGTAAGCCCAATTTAGCAAAGACAGGATAATATGTGGACCACACCTATTTCTCGTCCGAACCACACAGCTATTTCTCGTCCGGACCACACCTATTTCTCGTCCGGACCACACCTATATATTTCGTCCGAACCACACCTATTTTTCGTCCGGACCACACCTATATATTTCGTCCGAACCACACCTATATTTAGTTTGGAAATGATGTTTTCTTATTTTACTCCTAAACTACAACTTTTAGGTGATAGTGCGCTGGGACTATTATGATCTAAAACCAAAAAACTACATTTTTTTTATTTAAGGATCGGTTTTAATTTGCATGAGGGATTGTAAAACAAAGATTATTTTCATGAATTGTTTTATGCCTACTGTACCTTCAAAATATGTTCTTTTATAAATAAAATATTAATAAAATGGTTTTAAAAGATAAAAACTGTCAGCTCTGTCATTGATGATCAGTTAATGCCACTCAACAGGGGCGGACATAAGGATTCTGTAGGGGGGGG